TGCTGCTCCATAGGGTTGTGGAAGAAGGATGTAGCACTGTGTGGGTGTTAAGCTCATGGCAATACTAGCTGGTGCTCTCTGACCCTGTTCCTGATGGAGACCAGCTCCCCCACCTGTGTGTGATCCTTAGCCCCCTCCCTGCCTTCCCCCACCTGAGATTCCCTATCCATTTTCACTAATCTCATGAAATTCCCACGATCCCATTTAGACCCAAACCTAACTGTGATCCCCTCCTGCGGCCCAGCATCTCCATGACTTCTCCACCTCCATGACACCCCCAAAACCTTCACTGGTACCTCACAGGATTCCTCACCCCTGCTGAGCACCTTTTTCCATCCCTCTGAAACCTTCCTTCCCAGCTCCACTGAAACTCCCCCACGTCCTCCCAGCTCTTCTTCTTTCACCATCGGTCCCCAGCTTTGTGCTGGTGCTTTTGTAACCTTTGACAGCAAGTTCCTTGAGGGCTTTTCTGCAAAATGCTTTTTTCCTGTTGCCCCTGGCTCTCCCTGTTCTGCTCACCTGAGGGGCAATCCCTTAAATTCCCCACTAGATCCTTCCATGGTTGTGTCTTGATCACACAAAGTGGTTTTTCATCTTGAGCTAGTGTGATGGGGCCATCTCCCTTGTGCTTTCTCCCATGGCATTTGTTTAATTTCCTGCTTGCTCTCCATGCCTGTGGCTTGTCTCCCAGCACTCCTGATAGCTTGGAGTTTTCTGGTGGCTTCACTGCTTGCTCAGGAGTGCTGGGACAACATTTTTTTAATAATTTGATGGAGTTGGTTCCCGTGTAGGAGCTGATGGAGTTAGGCTGGCAATTAGATGGGTAAAACCTAGGATTAAGAGTCCTTATTTGACTTGGGGATTTCTGAGGAATGCAGAGCTGGGAAGGAGGAAGCAAAATAAAGAATTCATCTGAGGTTGAAGGTTTCCTTGCAAAAGCCAAACCCTGTGTGGGGAGCCTCTCTGCAACACTTCAGCGTAAGGCTCCACCATGGGGTAAAGCCCTTTTTTGTACAACCCAACCAATATTTCACCTGCTGCCTACATAATATCCCCGCACACCTGTGCAAGGGCTGATTTACATCCAGCATGATTCATAAAAATGCATGATACCAACAAAAGATGCCAAAACCCCAAGGTGGATCCAAAGCACGTTCAGTCACACAGCTGGAAAATGGCGCAGGTGAAATACATGTTTTAAATCATTAATCTTCTCCTCAAACCCCAGATCAGGCTGCTGAGGCTCCCCAAGGTTATCTCCTGGGGGCATAGAGCAAGGCCTCTAAATCTTGATGGCTGGGGAAGACGTGACTCTCCTTGAGGGTTCTGTGGATTTAGTTAGAAGTAAAGAGGCGCTTGCTTGGGTAAAGGCACCCCCGGCGACTTTGCGGCGAGGCCGGTGGCGTCGCCGCC